AAAGCCAAGTTTTTTCAAAAAGGAAGGAAACTTAACTAAAAATAACATTCAAAAAATTAGGGAGGATTTTACTTCCTCACCTTAAACTAATGAAGTATTGAAATAGGGTTCATCGGGAGACAGCTTCTTTCATATTTTCTGGACGTTTCATGACCCTCAGGATACGAAAAATAGGTCTCCCCGTTTTAGTCTGTCTGTCTGCCGTCTGTCGGATAATTTTCGAAACAACCGGACCGTTTGTTGTCAAATTTGTATCTATTTTGGAAATCACCAACGATTTAATGACTAATACATAAACACCAATTTTTGTCCAACAGGTAACACCTAGTTACAGCCCAAAAATATGAGAATACATAATAATCAAAAAGAAATCTAAATCTGTCGAAATTTTATCAATCAAATTGTGCCCCCCCCCCCCCCCATTTCAAAAGGTCACGAGCCGTCACTGCTTTAAACATTAAATAATTTAATTGTTATTCCAATTTTTATTTTGAGACCGTAAGCTTCATTTCATGACTCCTAGAATGCAAAAGAGTAGGTCCCTCGTTTCCACCGTTATATTGTCCGTTGGGTTGAAATTTTGGATCTATTTTATTAATATTAATGTTAAAATTAATGTTAAAATGTGCAAAATTCTCTCCTATTTTAATAATCCACTTCTACTTTTAATTTTAGGCTAAAAAAAATCAAAATTGTAAAACAAAATTTTACCATTTCACGGCGAAATCAATGGCTCTGAAATTTTGTATACGGTTCCCTTCCAAAAATTTGATGACGTCACCTCAGGATTTTGAGAATTAAGTCTCGCTTAAAATGTGCCACAAATTCAGTTATTTATATATGTATAGTTTAATAATGTATCTATCTTTTTGGAAATGAAATCAAGAACATACGATTTTTTTTAGTAATTAATAAATTTTAGGAGTAATTAAAATACCTTTGCGAAAATTTTTTGGGAACAATAAATTTTTGTTGTTCATATAGAATCGTTGGTGTTTTTTAATAATTTTTTGTAAAAAAAATTGCCCAATTGCCCAAACTTTTATCAATGCGTGCTTAATAGACTCATTTTTTCAATCTATAACCATAAACAATCGAAGTTAGGCGTGCATCTATAATATATGTTTTCTGTTGCGCAGAAGCTAATACTGTTTACCTGTACTTTAATACAAATAAATATGACCAAATACTAATTTTAACATTGTAACTTTTACGGAATTCATGTTTTTAAATTTGTACGAAAAAATCTTTGTTTGAAATTCATGGAAAATTTTTAACCAAAATTCGCCAAAATATTTCATCATTTTACTTTAAGGTTACATATATTAGCTTATTTTACTTTATCAATCTTATAAAACAAATAAAATTCCGGAAACTTAGTCTAAATAACTTTAGACCAATTTTTCAATTTTGTAATTTTGCAATTTTTGATTTTTCACTTTCATAATTTTAGAATTTTTTGATTTACCAATTGTCCTGTTTTTAATAAATCAATTTTTCAGTTATAAGATTTTCCAGTTGCTTTAATTTTTCATTTTTCAATTCTTTTATATTTGGATTTTAGAATTTTTTCGATTTCAAAATTTTCAAATGTTTCAATTTTACAATTTTGCCATTTTTCGATTTTAACTTCATTCGATTTTTCAGTTTTAGAGTTTAATAATTTATCCAATTTTTCAGTTTTGCAAAATTATACATCTTCAATTTTTTTATTTTTTATTGTTCAAAATTTCAATTTCTCAAATTTTTGATTTTTTGGTTTAATTATTTTGCAATTTTTCGTTTTTAAAGGTATCGGATTTTTAAATTTTTAATTCTTCAGTTAGCTCAAGTTCATTGTTTGGATTTTCTAATTTTTTGGTTTTTCATATTTTAAAATTTCGATTTCCAGTTTTCTAAGTTGTTGATTTTATAGTTTTTCTGTTCTACCACTCCCTGACTTTTAAATTTTTAAATTATACGATTTTTCGGTTTTGTAATTTTGCAATTGTTTGAATTTTCAGTTATATTTTCTCAATTGTTCCGGTTTTAATAAATCAGTTTTTCAATTTTTGATTTTCCAGTAATCAGATTTTCTAACTCCTCGATTTTTCAATCTTTGAATTTTTCATTATTCATTTTCATTTGTTCGATTTTTCATTTTAGAAATGTTTGCAATTTTTCATTTTTACAGTTTAATAAATGTTCGAATTTACAATCATCCAATGTTTCAATTTTGTAATTTTACCTTTGTACAATTTTCAATTTTTCGATTTTTAATTTTTCAAAATTTCTGTTTTTTCAATTTTTGATTCTTCAGTTGTCTGAATTTCATTGTTACAATTTTCAAAATTTTTCATTTTTGTAATACTTATTATATATCTTCAATTTTTTTATTTTTAATTGTTCAAAATTTCAATTTCTCAAATTTTTAATTTTTTCGGTTTAATTATTTTACAATTTTTCGCTTTTAAAGGTATCGGATTTTTGAATTTTTGATTCTTCAGTTACCTCAATTTCGTTGTTTGGATTTTCTACTTTTTTGGTTTTTCATATTTTAAAATTTCGATTTCCAGTTTTCCAAGTTTTTGATTTTGTAATTTTTATATTCTACTACCCCCTGACTTTTCAATTTTTAAATAATACGATTTTTCGGTTTGGTAATTTTGCAATTTTTTGCTTTTTCAGGTTATATTAGTTTCTCAATTGTTCCAGTTTTTCAATTTTTGATGTCCCAGTTATCAGATTTTCTATCTCCTCGATTTTTCAATCTTTGAATATTTCATTATTCATTTTTCATGTGTTCAATTTTTCATCTTAGAAATGTTTGCAATCTTTTATTTTTACAATTTAATAAATGTTCGAATTTACAATTATCCAATGTTCCAATTTTGTAATTTTACCATTTTACAATTTTCAATTTTTCGATTTTTTATTTTTCAAAATTTCCTTCTTTTCAATTTTTGATCCTACAGTTATATGAATCTCAATGTTTCGATTTTCTAACTTTTTCACTTTTGTAATATTATAGATCTTCAATTTTTTTATTTTTAATTGTTCAAAATTTCAATTTTGCAAATTTTTGATTTTTCGGTTTAATTATTTTACAATTTTTTGTTTTGAAAGGTATCGGATTTTTGAATTTTTGATTCTTCAGTTACCTCAATTTCGTTGTTTGGATTTTCAAATTTTTTGGTTTTTCATATTTTAAAATTCCGATTTCCAGTTTTCCAAGTTTTTGATTTTGTAATTTTTCTACTCTACTACTCCCTGTCTTTTCAGTTTTTAAATAATACGATTTTTCGGTTTGGTAATTTTGCAATTTTTTGATTTTTCAAATTATATAGTATTTTCTCAATTGTTCCGGTTTTAATAAATCAGTTTTTCAATTTTTGATTTTCCAGTTATCAGATTTTCTAACTCCTTGAATTTTTCGTTATTCATTTTACAATTTTCAATTTTTCGATTTTTAATTTTTCAAAATTTCTGTTTTTTCAAGTTTTCATTCTTCAATTATCTGAATTTCATTGTTTCGATTTTCTAATTTTTTCATCTTTAATATTTCAAAATTTCGATTTCTAGTTTTCCAAGTTTTTTATTTTTCGAAGAAACAGTATTTGTTGTTCAGGGGCGAGGAAAGTTCTTTCTAAATAATTCCTCAAAAACCGACGTTACAGACGATAATTTTTTTTAATGTGTTCAGAAATTCTAGTTTATTTTTAGGTTAAACAGACATGCATTTGATTTTAACCTTAAACGACAAAATTCTCGAAACAGATCTTCCAATTGAGAAAAAATCAAATTATCGTTATTAGGATTACTAAAAATAAACTTTAATACAGCGTTAAAAGCTTCATGGAATCTGAGCTTCTGAGTCATGACTTCATGGGACAAAACAGAACATTCTAAAGTCAAATGCATCGGAAATCATTCGCATATTTTCAGCAGATCCTCTGTGCATGGGCGTTCAATAACCTCAACACAGAATAAATTTTTAAATCTTCTTTCACACCAATTGCCGTTGGTACAAAGAACTTATTCTGTCATGAATGAAAGATATTTTCCCGATTTGGACCGTGATAATTTGGAAAAAATTTAGACGTTTCGTCCACTTTCGTAAGAAATCTTTTTGTTATTACGTGAAAGAAGCTATATTTCAATCCTGATGATTTGATCCTACAAAAGGTTTTTATATTATTAGCAAACCAAGTGGTCCTTTCGATTACTTCGTGATAATCATTCATAAATTTTTGTAACAACAGAAGACATAAATCTGAACCTTGAGACATTCTGGAAGTAATTAAATAAGATATTATGTAAAAGGTTTGGTTAAAGTTTATTTATTTACATATGTGCTAAGCTGCATCAAATATTCTTTCCTCTCATACCACATAATTCCGGGGGCTACATGTTTTCCATTATCAGGAGATATAAAATTGAATAGAAAACTAATTCATCAAACTTTTTCGAACTTCGTCTCATTTCAATTTTCATAAATTTATACACCTATTTATATACTCTACCATAGCGGATTTTTAGACCCCGTGCTGCTTTAGCTATCTGTCGATGTAGTGATCCGCCCAAAACCATGACCAGTGTAGACGTAAAATTTTTTTTCTTTGCAAGTAAATAGCCAGTTTGAAATTGTTATTAGCATAAAAGACAGAATAAGCTAATTTAAGAGCTGAAACAACCTGTTTTCGGTGCTTTTAGTGAATTATTTGCCCTGGCTACGTTTTCGCACAAATGGCTTAATTTCAGAGACGAGTTATGAGCAGTACCATTATTGTATGTTTGGTTGCCTACATTTTCAGCGTAGTTCCTTCCAAACATCTTTGCATATTTCAGCTATTCAGAGAGTCTACAAGTTGCTCAATTAATGCAAATTCGCAGTTTGAAGCGAGCCGGAGCTAGACTATCCTGTCTCAAAAGTTGGAAACGTATAATTCCCAACACAAACCCAACAAACGGAATTATCGGTAGCCGTTAACGAGATTGCTGGTTCAGGCAGCAGGAATTACCTGTATGTCAGAAAACGTCCGAGGAAATCCTTCCGGCATGTTTGTGAAGAAGAACAACGCGCACAAAGGTCACGTACCATGCAGGCGGTAGCATATCGCTATCTGCACCTCACTTTGATCACCTCTAATTGTATTTATCCTGTCGATAACAACACAACCCCACCAAGCACGAACACACGACGTAATCAACTCGGAAGGCAGCCGGCTAATTAACGTTACACATCACACAAGGATTCGCGGGCACAACGTCGCAAAAATATCCTTTGTAGTTTCGTCCAGGACCGGGCCGGTTACGAGCAACAAGTTGCCACACGTGGTCCGATGCGGTCACCTGCGGGCGCCCCGGGCCAGGACCGACTCAGGAGTGGCCACCTACGATCGGTCTCGAGCGTTCCTGCAACCGAAGCGGTCTGCACCAGACTTAACACTGCTGGTTGTTGTCTTTTCGATGGCTGAACCGGTTAGCGGTCGCTCACTCGGACACGCTGCACTTTCTGCAAGGACCAAGAAGACTATTTTTAGCTGGCGCATATTGACGATCGATTTGCGAAATTGATTTTGAAAGCTTTCGGAATTGGTAATGCGGCTGGGACGGCGGTGGTGTGCATGGTTCGATGCGCTTTTTCTGCCCGGAGCGCGCAGGTTTGGCTTGGACGGGCAGATTAGTCACAATTTGGGTTTTTGGAGTAGGTAAGCAAGTTAAAATTCGGCGGAACGGTGGCTGGCGGAGAAAATTTCGAAATCTGCAGGGTTATTTCACCAGAAATCTCATCATCTTTGTAGTTACAGTCTCTACAAATAACACAAACTTCCTATTGTGTAATGTGTACTCATAAGACTCCTGAAATGGACTACACTTATTTTGTTTTCTGACGAAATTGCTAGCATTCGTCCAAAAATTCTCATTAACTCACTACAAAATTTTATTCAGCGTCTTGTGAATTGATAACTATTAAATTGAGTTTGGCATCGAAGTAACACACGTTTTCTAACATTGTTATGAAATTGTCTATAACCACCACTACATCACCCAAGATCTTTTATAATTGTCCCTTATCGAGGCGGATAAATTTTATTATACTTCCGTTGAACCCTTCCAAACAGAAACATGCAATGTGAGAATCCGTTCTGGGTACTGAATATACACTGTTTTCAATCCATGTTATATGTTTGACTCAAAAGCACCCAATATTATTAGATATTTTTTAATAATATTTATGTTGATACAATATATTGAAGAATCCTTGGCAGTACTAAAAAGCACGGAATTTTTAATGTTCCTACAAATTTTTGTTACTACATTTGGCCAATATTTTTTAACACACATTTTTGTGAAATTGTTAAATATGAAACTATAAAAACGAAATTAATAGCTATAAATTATATACGTGTCAAACAAATGTAACATGAATGTGAACTCTATTAACTACCTACCTTTGGTCTTCAATATCAAGACAGAAATTCGTCAGAGTTTCCCGTTTCCAAGCAAAAAGGTCATTAATGGTGACCACTTTGTTATATTTTTATTTAACATTTATAATTTTGTAATAAACAAGTTACATAGCGAGCATATAACGGAAGTATAACGGGGTCTTATAACTGTTATGTCACTGTTATATTCGTTTGAAGCGGTAGGTGATTTATTATATATTAGATATTATGTTCATGTTATGTTTTTGTTACATAACTTGTTATATGACAGTTACTGTTGTGGTGACCGAATTTAAATCAAAATATTCGCGTTGAAATTAATTAACAGTGGCCCAAAATCACATTAGAATAATTTGAATTTGAGAAAGAAAAAAAAATCATCGAAAAAATCGTTAAACATAGGCAACCAGGTGCACGGTAACGCTTGCTGGATAGTTGGACAATTAGTAGCGCTAGGGATTTTGGTTAGAGGATTGGCGGTTAGACAGAGGGCGGCATGGCGGAACGTCAGTCTGAATGTGTTTCTGTGAATGTACACAAGTGGTAAGTAGCTAGGTTTAAATTAGCTGGTTTGGTAGTTAGTAAAAGAAAAGAAGCCTTTGTTTAACGACAGTCAATCGTAACCGACGTCGCTCAGTTTTCCCCAACCCGCATGGCTAATTCTTGCGGCCTTTTAATCAAAAAAAGTGTGGAGTTCCGTTCAACGCGAAACACGTGCTATATATATATATATATATATATATAATTCAGGCCTTAAAGGCCCTGGGCTTTTTTAACAATAATTTTCCATTTGTTCCTGTCGGCTGCTTTGGATCTCCAATCTTCAATGCCTAAGTTTTGAAGATCTTTTCGAACATCGTCTATCCATTTCAGTTTTGGCCTTCCTCTCTTTTTCTTTTCTCCTTTTAGGCGGTCTAATACTTTCCCGATTGTCCTTTCCTCTGGTGCTCTTCCGACGTGGCCTAGCCATCTTAGTCTCTGTGCTCTGATTATCTCCGTGATTGTTGGTTCTCCGTATATTTCCTCGATCTCTCGGTTTGTTCTTCTTCTCCATTGGTCTAGTTCTTTTATACCTCCATATATCTTTCGTAGTATCTTGCGTTCCCATACTTCCAACTTCTGTTCCTTTTCGTTCGTTAGCGTCCATGTTTCACTAGCGTTCAGGACTGTAGGTCTTACTATTGTCTTATATACTTGTTTCTTTGTTCGTCGTGTTACATTCTTACTCCTCAGAAATCTGTTTAATCTTCCTGCACTCTTGTTTGCTTTCCCGATCCGTTCTTCTATCTCTTCGTTCATTTCGTTTTTGTTTGTAATTACTACTCCTAGATATTTGAACCTATTTACTTCTTCGAATTCGTATGTTGTTCCTTCGTCTGTAGTTAGTTTCAGTGGTTTTGTTGGGGTTTGTTTTGTTTCCATCTTCATAAACTTCGTTTTCTCTTGGTTGATCGCTAAACCCATTCGTTTCGCTTCTCTGATTAGATTTTTTGTCATTTTCTTCATTTCTGCTTCTGTTCTCGTTGTACATGTCACGTCATCTGCAAAGGCTATATTTTGGTGTCTTTTTTCGTATATCGTGCTCGTTCTGTGGATGCCACTTCTCCTTATTATTGCTTCGAGTACTAGATTGAACAGGGTAGTTGATATTGGATCTCCTTGCCGGAGTTCTGTTCTTACTTGGAATGGTTCTGACAACAGACCTTTTATCTTGACTCTGTTTCTGGTGCTCTGCAGGGTCATCTTTGTCAGTTTTATTAGTTTTCTTGGGACTCCCAGTTCTTTCATGGCTTCTAGCAGTTCTTTCCTGTTAACCGTGTCATAGGCTTTTTTAAAGTCTATGAACAGCAGATATAAGTTGATTCCCTGTTCGTAATGTACTTCTTGTAGTTGCTTCAATATAAATATCTGGTCTACAGTAGATCTATTTTTCCTAAACCCTGCTTGATATTCTCCTACTATTTTTTCCATATGCTGCTTTAGTCTTCGGTTGATGCAAGTGGCCATTACTTTATACGTTACGTCTAGCAGCGCTATTCCGCGATAATTTTCGCATTTCGTAATATCTCCTTTTTTAAATATCGGGCAAAGTACTGCTTCACTCCATTCTTCTGGCATTTTTTCTTCCTTCCAACATTCTAGCACTAGTCGATGTATCTCTGATGCTACTGCTTCTCCTCCGTACTTTAGCATCTCGCCCTTTATTCCGTTTCTACCAGGACTTTTGTTGTTTTTCATCTGCCTTAGTGTTTCTCTGATCTCTCCTTCGTCAATTACTATTGTTTCATCTGGGTCATCCGAGTCGTTCACTCTTTCGTTCGTATCTTGCTGTGTATCCTGTTCGTTTAGCAGCTCTTCAAAGTATTCTGCCCATCGTTTTATTCTTGCTTGTTCGTCTCCTATCAGGTTGTCGTCCTTGTCTTTACAATATATTACTCGTGGTTGATAGCCTCTTTTCTCTTTTTTCACGTCCTGGTAGAAGTTCCTTATTTCATTCTTGTTGAAGTTTTCTTCTATTTGTCGTATTTGTTCTTCCATCTTTGCTCGTTTCTTATTTCTGCATATCTTCTTGTACTCTTTCCTTTTTTCTTGGTAATCTTTTTGGTTCTTCTCATTTTTTTATTTTAGATATTTCTGTCTGGCTGACCTCCCCGCTTCTATTGCTTTTCTACATTCCTCGTCAAACCATTCGTTTCTATTTTTGTTGTCTTTTTTGACGAACCCTAGTACTTCTTCCGAGGTCTTCCATATGTTCTCTTGTAGTTCTTCGCACCTCTCTTCTATAGGTATGTCTTGCTGTGTTGATCTTATTCTCTCATTCATCTTTTGTTCGTATTCCTGTTGTACTTCAGCTTTCTTAAGTTTGTTTACATTTAAATATATCACGTTGCGTCTTCTTTCCTTCTTTTTTCTTCGGTATTTCTTGTTTGAGGTCTGCTCTTACTAGAAAGTGGTCTGAATTCGCTTCTGCTCCTTTGTAGGTTCTTAATCTGGTTATTAGTTGGGCATCTCTCCTTTCTACCAGTATGTGGTCTATTTGGTTGACCGTTTTTCCGTCAGGTGACATCCATGTGCCTTTGTAGATCTCTTTCTGCGCAAAGAAGGTGCTTTTGACTACCATTTTATTTTCTTGTGCAAACTCTATCAGTTTTTCTCCATTTTGATTCGTTTTTTGATGATTGCTTTCTTTCCCGATTGTTGGCCTGTAGCAATTCTCTTTACCTATCATTGCGTTGGCGTCCCCTATAACCATTTTAATGTCATGCTTTGGTATTTTCACATATTCTCTTTCTAGTTCTTCGTAATATTCTGTTTTTACTTCTAGATCTTTCTCTTCAGTCGGTGCATGTATATTCACTAGGCTTATCTTCCTGTACTTACTTCTTATATAGCTCATTCTTTCTGAGATTGGTTTGAAGGTAATTACTGCTCCTTTCAGTCTCTTCTTCACCATGAATCCTGTTCCTAGTTCTCTGTTGTCAATTCCGCTATTAAATAATATGTAGTTGTCTATTTCAGTGATGAATTTGCCTTTTTGTTTCGTCTCTTGTATAGCTGCTACATCTATATTATACCTTTGTAATTCTTGAACTATTTGTTTGAGTTTTCCTTCGCTATATGTTCCTCAAACATTCCATGTTCCTATTCTAATTTTCGGGTTTTTCTTTCTCTTCGTAATTCCTATCGGGTCATCCATGAGCTTTGCATACGTCGTCATTGTTTTCCGGTGTGTGGTTTCTTCCTCTGTTAGTTTTTTGGATTTTCTTTGGGGTGCGACGGTGCTTTCACTAATTTGTCTAATTTAGTGTCCCAATGCCAGACTTCTCCTGCCCATATCATGTTTTTGCACCATACTTTTGCCTCGACTCCTTTTCCTTTTTCTGCTGCTGCTATTCCTCTTATTTTCTTCTGTATCTCGCTCTCTTGTTTGGTGTAATCGTCTTCAATAAACGTTTCTGATCCTTTTAATTTGTTCTTCTGTTTCATGATTGCTCTTTTTGTGACCCAGTTCTCTATCTTTACTACTACTATGTCGTATTTTTCGCTGACTAATCTTGCGTCTTGTATCTTAGTTTGGATTCCTACCTTATTTTTTAGGAGTTCTTCAACCTCTGCTGTTATTTCGCTTCCTTGTAGTTTCCCTCCTTTGATTACGATGTTGTTTCTCCTTTCTGCTTTTTCCAGTTTTTCTAAGTGTTGCTCTACTCTTTCTAATCTTTCGGTCAGTCTTTGGTTTTCTTCTCTTAGTGTTGTTACTTCTGTTTGGTATGCTCTTTGGTCTCTTTTTATTTCTGCGATTTCCTCCATTAACATTTTGAACATATTCTTTACTTCGTCCATGTCTCCTGCTTGTACTCTCTTCTGCTTCCTCTGTACTCTTTGACCTTCCGGTGATGGTGAAAAGGAGGTTTCTCTTTTTCGTTTCTGGTTGTCTTGTTCTTCTATTGCTAGTTTGTGTCCTTTTTCCGGTTCAGGATTCCCGTTTAGCATTCCCTGGCCGACTTTCTTGCTTCGTGTGTATCTAGTACGTTCCTGTGTTGATTACTCCGTGCCGCGATAAGAACTGTCACCCAGACTATCTCTTCGGAGGTTAGGTTCTTTTGATTCCACACTTTCCCTAATAATTGCTGCCCTTTCACTTCTTGGTGCTTCTTATTCTTATTCCACTTCACTTCTTTGTTTTCTACTACTTCTCTTTCGCTTTTGACGCTCGATATCTCTCGATTTTCGAGTTTGGATTTCGGGGCGTGTTCTGCTTATCGTAGTCAGGACCGTACTATACATGCTATAAATTTGTTTTATTGTTTGTAAATTCACCAATCAAGTTAGTTTTTCTTAATCGTTAGCTAGTACAAACACAATTTAACAATCAGGATTATTTAAATAAACCACTTGCTAGAAGATTTTATGAAATTCACTTAGTCAGGATAATATCTTTGTTGTTTAATTCCGAATAAGTTTCTGGATGCATATGCGTAAGTGTTAGATTATAACACTGCGTAATTCTTTACACAAGATTGCTAATAGTTCATTTACGGCAGTTAAACTAATTCATACCGCGAACTGGCAGGGGGTTAAAATAATTTCTTCCCTTAGACGGTTATCATCGTTATCATGATCACATCACTGGGGCATGTCCTCACCACGTTAAAGATTGATTACTTCATCGAGGCTTGTCCTCACAAAGCTACAGATTGATTACTTCATCGAGGATTGTCTTCACAACGCTAAAGATTGATTACATCATCGACGCTTGTCCTCACAAGGCTAGAGATTGATAACATCACCGAGGCTTATTCCTCGCAACGCTAAAATATACATCATCGAGGTATTCCCTCGCAACAATAAAATTACAGCACCGAGACGCTTTCTCCTCGCAACGATAATTGAATATTTTTGTGTCTGTTTATTATGTATTTTATCGGTATTCTAAACTCTCAAAGTAAATTGTTTTTTTTTTTTAAGTAACCAATCACTTAGATCATGATATAATTTGTCACCAGATCTTTTGTTGCATAAATCTTTGCTAAGTTTTGTTTTGTAAATATTTTGTTGATGAATATTTCCATCGTATAAATTATTTGATGTCCAATTTTAATCCCACCTAAAAAATTGTTTGTTGTTTAAAACTTCACAAGATTGTATGGCGAATTTAAATAATGTTTATTGCTCTTTTGAAACGTTCACACTTGTTCAGTAGTTGTAATATCAGAGTCATAACAAATTGAAATTTAAAATGGAGTTGAGGTTAAATAACACAGAAAACGTGGCAGAAGCGAAGTGCGGTTCCTAGTCGAGCTGGCGAGATTTATCGCGTCACCTGCACAAAGGGTACAGGTTTGGATAGATTCAGGGGCGGCCGCCGATGTTGTAACGTTCTCGGCTTCTGTCCTTAGCTGAGATCCGACTACGGGTCTGGCGACCGTAACGGCCTAGTTTCGGACGGCATGTTCGTCCTAGAGATGTGTAATGTGCTGTTTGGGTAGGCTTTGCGATAGATAGAATCACCGTCGAGGGGGGAGAACAGCCCCGACCGGTAGCCCCAAACTCCGCTTGTGCTAGAACGCCCCAGGGGTAATTTTATTGTGCTCCTGTTAACAGCCGCAACTTTAAAATTTGACGCCACACGCCCGTAATAACTTGTGTATTTGCATCCAGTTACTTTAATTCAGATATAAATATAAAGAATGTATTTTCGTCCTTCACGCAGCCTTTTGATGGTGAATGTTCTTTATATATACTACGTGCTCTTTCCAAAACCTCAAGAAATTAGAGTGATGGTCACGAACAAAAAGATTGCAAAAAACTGTTAAAAAGATACTGTTGATATTAGTTCGGAACAAAACAAAAAGGATTAAATAGTCACTTTTGACTTCATCCGCTCACACTGGGTTGACGTACATAGTGTAATTGAATGGTTTTTAGTAACTCTGTGGATGGTTCTTGGTATTTCTAAATAGGTTCGGTGGTTGAAATGATTTTATGAATTTATGAACAAGTAAGAATCGAAATTGTGTAAATGTACTGTGACTTTAAAGGCTTTTAAAGAAACATATTTTTATTATATAGCTGCAACATAGCGTCACCATAACAGTGCTATATAACCCTGTTACACTTATATAATACAATTGCAATATAGCACTGTTACATAGCTGCAGCATAACGTTACAATAACAGTGTTATATAAATTATTACATTTATGAAATGTAATTGCACTATAATACTGTTATATAACAGCAACAAATTTTGTTACATTTTTCTATTATAACTGCAACATAGCGGCATAATAATGTTAACTTAATAGACGATTTATAAATATTTAAATCGCTTTTCTATAAACAGGTCCCTTAAGATGAATATCATGGATTCGTAGCTAAGGTCCGAATATTAAATTCGGATCACTGAATGTCTATTGGAGACTAAATTTGATGTACAGATACGACCTGTGTTTAAACATGTTTTCAGTTTCTTGTGGTGAAAAAAAAACTAGGCATATTAAGAAAAAAGATGAAATATAAACCCCGCCCACCCACCCCATCTCTATTATGATGACCTTTTTCATTCGTTGTCAGACCGAGGGGCGGAGCGTTATTGCAAAATCAATATTTCCTACGAAAATGTACCATTTTAAACATGTTTTAAGTTTCTTGTTGTGAAAAGAAGACTACGTATATTAAGAAAAAGGCAACATATAAGCCCCGCCCACCCGCCCGAACTCAATTGTGATGACTTTTTTTATTCATCGTGAGTCCAGGGGCGGAGCTTAATTGCAAAATCCCCTTTTTTTACAAGAAATTACCATGTGCAATGTTCTTAAGTAATCGTGTTTTTCAAAGAAAACTACGTGTATTGAGTAAAAAAGAAAGGCAAAGAAATTAAGAAAAAGGGCAAAATATAAGCCCCGCCCACCCACCCCATCCCAATTGTGATAAATTTTTCATTCGTTTCTTGTTGTGTAAAGAAAAGACTACGTAGAATAAGAAAAAAGGCAAAGTATGAATTATTTAGTCTTTTTTCTATGGAATGTCAGAGAAATTAGATAAAAAATCATAAAAAATTGATTCTGAAGTAAATATTACCGAAACATCATAATTTACTGAAAAATATTTTTCAGGTGACTATGTTTCTAGAGAAAGTTAACCACATTTATTTATTTAACAACAGTGTTAGGTAATACACACCTCAGATAGACTGTGCAACTTGAAATAGAAGAAGACTTATTTTACAATATTTTAGTACGACGTGAGACTGTTTCAATTATGCTATATAGAAACCAATTTAAATTTTAGTTAGATACTAGTTCAGGTGAGGTCAGATCAAGTTCGGTTTTTCCATTGCCGCTTAATTAATTAAATTATTCCTATACTCTGCTTTGAGAAGACAAAAGCAATCAAATTTCATTTTCTGTTGTTTATTGGAATCTGCAAATAGTTGAATTCTTTCAAAGTACAAACATAAACACCTTTGTTTCAAATGTATTACACATTGTCCGCACTTGTGCGGAATGCGCCACCTTGGATTAGCTGCAGTGTACTTGAAGCGCGGAGGAAGTTCTGTGGAAATAACCTTTGATCAATTATTAATAAAAATTTACAACTTCACTAAGATAGCAATCTATCATGTGCTCTGAATTATTCTTGAATTAAAAGTATAAAAATTGTCAATATTTTTAGTGAACAATTACCAGCTAATTTTAAATTCATTACCAAACTTTTTTGAGAACGACTTCCTCGAATAGAGCGAATTATTCCTTGTCTGTCAAATTTTCATCATTTTCATTAAACGAATCACTTTTTCTATATCCCGAAACCCGGATATGCTAACTCTCAACACTTTTTTAGATTATGTATATTGTTTTCGAATCGACTTATTAGTTAAATAGTTGTACGCATTCCTATAAATTTTGCATTGTTTCATGAAATGTGTCATTACATGGCTTGTGATAAAACTATTAGTTCGTTATTCCATGACTCAGAGAAATTCCTTGGCAACGAGCTTTGATATAAATTGAGTACCATTCATATTGTTGCTTTGAAGGGGTATTTAAAATCGGCGTGTATAAAACTCAACAATTTATTTCTCCAAATTTACGCGACTAATTACACCGCGATTATGTATAAAATAATTCCGGCGCAAC